TTCTTCAAACACACGTGAAAGGAAAGTAAGAATGAAATTTTTAAAATTTACAAATACAACTATATTTTAGTGTCTATATATCTAAACCCATTCTCAGGTATCAGCTTTTGGATTCTCTTTCTCATTATATCAACATTCTACTAAGATGAAAAATATTTCCTACAACAATAAACATTGTAATTAGCGCATAGTCTATTTGCTATATCATTTTTTCGCGTTTTTCTAAAACAGCGAAATGTGTTGTTCTATATATATTGATATTCGAAAACATCACAATAAATTTTTGAATCTTCCTTATAATTTTGAAAATATATTGTAGAAGAAATGCCCTTTTGGTTGTCTCCAAAATCTCTCACAATGAAACCCTAGTATGATTAGCTCTAAAATAAATAAAATAATTGGCTACAGAATATCCCAGATAAAACTTTTATATGAACATAAAATAACCTTTGATTAACCCTCTGATGGTTTCCTCTAGAACCTAATCTTAGAGTAAACGTATGATAACCGATTTTAAAATACCCCTAGCTTAAACCTCTGATGGTTTCCTCTAGAATCTAATCTTAGAGTAAACGTATGATAACCGATTTAAAAATACCCCTAGCTTAAACCTCTGATGGTTTCCTCTAGAATCTAATCTTAGAGTAAACGTATGATAACCGATTTAAAAATACCCCTAGCTTAAACCTCTGGCGGTTGACTACCATTTCAAGTTTGATTTGAAATTACCCTAACTTACATCACCTAATGTTTTTTGTTTGTTTGTTTTCAATGAAATTTTGTTCTTCGCTTTACTAACACTATGGTTATAAATGAAATCCTGTTATGACTGACCCGAAAGACCTTTATACCACAATTTTGAACCACAAGACATTTTGAAGTACGATAATTCTTAGAGTTAGCCATAATAAAGTTTAACTTAGAGCCATTTTACAGCCACTAAAAACAGGATTTAAACGACTTGAAACCAAACAGAAGGTGACTGCGACTAAGTATTTCTGGAGCAAATTGCATAGTTTATCTAGTTCCTCATAATTTCAATACAAATAGAGTGTTGGGTGTGGCCTACTGGTTAGCGTGCCGGACTGTTACTTTGCCATAAAAACGCTCCGCACATTTTAAGGCTGTGGGCCATTATAAGAGCGACGGTGAAATCCCAATATTCGATAAGAGTAGCCCAAGAAATTAGCGGTATGTGCTGTTCATTAGCTGCCTTCCCTCTAGTTTTTTCGCTCAAAATTAGGGACAGTTGGCACAGATTAATCCTTTTATAGCTTTGCGCAAATATTTTTAAAATAAACAAAAAATTCCTGAAGTCGGTCAAACCTATAGGTTCAGGAGAAATATTTTCAAAAACGAAATGCAGAAATAAAGTAATAACTAAAACAGAAAAATAATAGAACTAACTTATTCTCTACAGTTTGATCTGCTTCCCGAAACTTAAATTAGCGAGGTCTTATCTAAAGATCCTTTGAATAAAACATTTTTAAAATCAACAACTTTCCTGTGGTATTTGAAATGTCTTGCCAGTCGTTAGATAACAACATAACGCCAAATGGACAAGGTGCTCGACTCGCAACCCGCGAAATCGAAACTCGGTGCCGAAAATGCTCGTCTTTCCACTGTGGGGGCGTTATAATGTGACCATCAATCCACCACTTAACATCCATTGGTAAAAAGTTGCTCAACAGTTGGCGGCGGATGCTGCTGGCCAGTTGTCTTCCCTGTGGTCAACAGCTCAAAATTAGGGATAGCGACAGATAGCCTTAGTAGCTTTACCATAAACTAAAACAGACAAATAACACATCTTAAAGGCTGTACACGTAACTAATGGTAACAGTATTTCTACCTATAGACTCAATTAGTTTATTTGTTTGTTTTATTATATTTTATTATGATGGATTGCTCTCTCTCTGTGTTTCACCAAAAATGCTATTTTTGTTGCATATTCCTTGATAGGAAATAATCCACAGACATTAATTAATGTAACATTTAACATCATAATGCACAAATAACGTACCCCTATACAAGTAACTGCTTTCAGAATGGAAAACAAATTGAGATACGAGAGAGACTGAACGACAATAGTTTTCGTCTTTCATAGGAAAATATGAGTTCTGGTAACAAAACCAATAGATCTAGAAATTATTTCAATTAGAAGTTTACTATTCACGACCTAATATTGTAAGAACATAAACATAGCTTGAACGCACTTTCACAATGAGAAGCTACTATACGAACTTAGAGAAACATTAAAATTGCTTTCATTTCTATTTATTTTTACAGGTTGAGTTGTGAAATAGGTTAAGAAGAAAGAACCGGTTGAAATGTTTATAAAACGCTTTGTATGCTAATTACTTTCCTAACGATGTTATTATTATCGGGTCTAGACGTGATATCAGTAAAAACGTATAAATTTATTGTGTAGAAAAAATATAACTTTTGTGGACTTTTCATTTTTTATGTTTATCTTATACTTCCGAACTAAGTTTATTCGAGTCTGTAAACTATCATGTCCATTTTTTTTTCTTTGTATAGTTGTGTCCTTTATTTCCAAGAGAAATGTGTTATTTTGTACCACGTAATTGTATACACTGTAGATATTCAGATAGTTTATAGCAGACTGAAGAAAAAAGGAACTACGGGATTCGGTAAATATAGGTTTCTTTTTGTTTCACTTATCAATAAAGCTCAACATTCACATTGTGCTATAAAATATCATCCTAACGTTATATTGCCAATCTCACAATCCACGCTTTTCTTTCATCAGTACTGTACCCGCTTGTTATATTCCAGTTCCTCTTGTTACTGGTGCAAGTATACCACACTGTCATGTTAACTTGTTTATACCTATTCATTAGATTGTAATTTTGTTCAATCTTAGCATGTTACAGTTAGGCTTACCAGGAAACTCATCTTGTTTAGTGTCGTACTCGGACAGTAATTCTTAGCCTAGTAATTTGCTGAAGAATTTGCTCTAAAATTACGTCATGTTAAAAGTGAATAAATAGTACAAAATAAAACTCAGACGAACAACTACCGACAAATTTATTTTTATTATTTTGATCCTAAACTATGGGTGCTCTTAACTTGCTGCTTTCCCTTTTGCCCGTCAGTTCGAAATTATATTATATTATATACGACTATGAACAAATAACTCTTATGTAGCGCGAAAATTCTAAGATAAAAATATGATTGCAATCTCACAAATTGAACAAAACTTGATTGTCCTTTATATTTGAAATTTGTGTATATTTAATTCTACTACTTACCACTTTGAATCGGTACCCAATAATTACATGGAGCTCAGAAGGTTATAAAATAATTGTTTTTAACAAAGCAACCAAGGTGTAGAAGTATACACAAATGTTGACGCTTTAAAACTAAAGTTATGAAAAAAGTAGGTTTAATATAAAAAATATCACAACAGTTCTTCTCAAGCATTTTCATTAGCTTCAACATTATGAAGATTTGATTACTGAGACTTAAAACATGTATTGATTGTACATCAGAAACTTCTGGATAAGACCACTGTATACTAGAAGTCTGTTCGTTTTAAAAAAAAACAACATTTTTATAACTCAGAAGGCGTAAAGATCTTCATCCTGGGTTGTGATAAAGTTTAAACATATAAATTATTATTATATACAACCTGTTTAATTTTTAGGTTTATTGCTAAACAGAAACATCTGCATGTATTCCTTGAAACAGACTTTTCATTGTGGTCAACAGTTTAATGGATTTTCATTGTGGTCAACAGTTTAATGGATTTTCATTGTGGTCAACAGTTTAATGGATTTTCATTGTCACTAAACGTTGCTAGAGGGAATTATTTAAAGTTTTGAATATACTGGTGTCAAGCTTTTGAAGAACCATAGAATCAGTGATAGCACGTGCAGCAAACAGTTTTTATTAGCTTGTAAATATGTTATATATACATTTCTTTAATCTCACTTGCGTTAACTGTGTTGGTTAAATACTTAATATATATATACCTTATATTAATTCTTATTAATTTCCATTTTAAATATATATATACATATTTAATTATCATGATTATATTATACTGTCATACAGATTTAGGAATAACCTAAACCTTCCACTCTGGTCGATATCAGCGAGAGTACATAATTAATTAATCAATACATACTAATAATTATAAATGTCTGTTGTTTTTTTTTTGTTTTTACATAGCATTCTCCAGAAATTAATAATAATACCTATGTTGGAGGTAATCTGGATTATTTGTAATTTTTAAAACAAGATTTTTTTCATCACATTCTAAAATAAAAAAGGTATTATTCCACGATTTTGTTATTTCTGAAACTGTAAACTGTATATTTTTTATTGTTGTACTAAACGTTTGTTTCAGAGTTTAATGCAACGTAACGCAAAATGTTATTAGGTTAATACAATTAATCGATCTATCTGAAAGGGAATGACTGACTTGGTTCATCTGTTAGAGGTACTTCGATGGGATCTGGTAATGATCTTCTGGAGTAGATCCTATTTAAACAGGTGGATGAACTCCGTTATATCCTTACAAACGAATTTCAATCCTCTAACTAATTTATTTTCTAAAAAAACAATCAATATATAAAAAAAGCTATCATGAAAATATTGTAGAGACAAAAATAAAGATGGGAGGACAGTTCAAGGGCAAATTTTGTACCCACAGAGTTGAATCAAAAGTATATTTGGTAAAAGTAAAAAGTCGAAATATTTTCACAAGTTGCAAGTTGGTAACCAACATACGTAGATAATCAGATGGATAAGTCGAAAAAAAATACACAGACAGATCATAGCTAAATAAATATAAAAACAGACAGACATATTTAGATTAACAAAGATACAGAAAGAAAGAAAGAAGTAAAAATATGGAAAATAAACAAAACAGGAGTTACTATCCGAAAAAAAAAAAGAGTTAAGATCTTTCAGAACTTGTTTGGTTTTAGTCAGTCTGACAAATGTTCTAGCTTTTCATGGAAAAGACAACTTACTACAGAACGAGATGTAAAATATGAGTACGGTTTGATCGCAGCTTGCACGGCCTCTTCACTGACAGTAAGCTCTTAATATTTTTAAGAGATCCCTACTGATGTATCTCACGGAGTCATTGTTTTAACTTCAACAAGGGGAGAAGGAACTATTCTGGGACAGATGGACTTTTTTATCTTTATCCCTAAGATCATTAGTGCGTGTTTATCTGAAGCGTTACAGCTTGAAGGGGAGAAAATACGTAAAGCTCAAAACGCCGATAGCAGACTACGAGCATGTCCGCGTGACGCAAACCACCAATCAGATTACAACAGCTGCGAGTCGTCTGAACAAAACAATCCCCGTTGAACGATATTTGCATGTAAAAAAACAAAAAAAATAATAAAAGAAGATTTTCTTCTTTCCAAAAGAAGGAAAGGGGGGGGCGACAGTTAGCGCATAAAGGAACCCTGTAGATACGAAGTGGGCTTTTAGAAAAAGAAAAATATCACGTCTTGGAGAAAAGAAGCAACTCGGTGGTGTAAGAGTAGGTTCAAATGATGCCTATATAGATTCAAATTCATCCACTTGTACTTGTTAGCGCGAATGAACAGCACTGAAGGTAGCACACTGGAACCACATGGAGTAAACATCTCAAACTGTCGGATATCACTCGCCTCCCTGTCAAAATCCTTTCAAATCTGTTATCATCTAAAGATGAATTATTATATTTATAGCGATGTTTTAGAGCTCGTCTTTCTTTGATTAAGAAAAAAAAAAGCTGGTCTGTGAAAAACCCTACACTGAAACATACAACTCTTTGTAAAGACTGGGTCTTTGCGCTAACATATCAAAATAAAGCTTCAAACTTCCTATAGCGATTTAGATGTATTTTCTTTTTAAGATAATGACAGAAAAGTACTTCCACATTCAAGTGCGTATGATGTGTGATGTCGGTGTCAGTGAGCTTAAGAACACATACCAATTCGTTCGGAATAACATATAATGTTGCAATTGTAAACTTGTACAGGTTCAGAAACTTATAACCATTGGAACTTACACTTGTATTTATAAAGAGACAAGAAATTACATAAAATCAAAATTTTTTCAAACATCATATTTACATTGTCCCATCCACCCTCTACACCACCGCCATCACTTGAAATTATAGCAAAACGTGGATAAAATAAAGTTAACCTGTTTTTGTCGTTGTTGTTCTTCTATTATACTAGTCACAACACACGTGTGTCCAGTTATGTGTAAAAAATGAGAAGGGATGAAGCAGGAGAGGAGGAGGAAAGAGCCTACACTTAAGGGTATCAAGGTCAAGGCTAAGATATATGTGTTGAGAAACACGTGCATGTATTAGTACATCCATGCTACACATATATCTACATAGCGAGTGAACAAGACTATTTCAAACCCAAACAGTTTAATACCATGCTAAATCGCCCATTTCACCATGAATTATAACCGCCATACTGTATGTTGTAACCAGGCATCTTCACTTCTTTTTTTTCCTTCCACCATAACCCTCTCGTGGGTCGATCAGTCAGAAATGTAGAGGTCTGTTACATATTTTATTTTATTTTCGAATTTTGTTAAGTACGCCAATTCTAGAACACAAATACAACAAGTTTTCTACCAATTTCCAAACAGATTAAGTACAATTTTACAGTCTTAGTAAAACAGAAAGATAGTGGCAATTTCATACTTGGCATAAACTTCTAAAAAATTAATAACATGTCTTACATACAAATATAGAGAGACAACAATAAGACTAAACAAGTATTCTGTGACTTTTGGAGGCTTGCAAATATAAGATAAACTAACAGTATAGCAGGTTAGAGCTTGATGGTGTATAGGACCACAATACAGAAATCTTGCCCATATTTCAAACAATATTATTTTAGCTTACGTTAGATACAAAAAGTGTTTGTTTTTGGTTTTTTACCTGACGATCCCATCCACCAGATGGTGAGAAAGCCGCTGGGTATCTCACGTAAACTAACTAAACTAACTCAAACTTGCTATATATAATATATATACATCCTATACATATACATGGAGTCTACAGGAGGGCGCGGCTCCGGGAACAAAGGGTTAAAGGGGTTGGACAGACTGGGCTTTTACCAGAACGGTTAAGATTCGAAGTAAACGTCAACGGAGAAGTAGTAGTAATAAGGGATCACCGCGACCCTCTGCTGAAAAAGACGCTGAAACTAGTAAGTAAAACTAGTTATCATGAATTTCTCGAAAGTATTTAGATGGTTAAAAAGTGCAGTTCTAAGCCTTTTGCTTTATAGCCTCATACACTGTATAATTATCTGCAGTTTTGATTTTAAAATTTCTTTAATATTTACAATATACGATTAAAATAATTCATCATCACAGTACTTAAAACTCACCTCTAAAGTGAAAAACAAAACAAAAAACACTGATAGACTAAAGAGGCAGATTCGAAATATAGGTTATATCGCTGATTATTCTACGTTAGATATAAAAATACAACGTGTGCTGATGTATCAATCTGACCAATTTTATTAACAGAATTAACCACTAAATTTAGGCCTAGTTAACGGCACTAAACACACACGATTTTTGTCTGTCTGTTGGTCCATTTCTACAGTTTTATATAAACGAATATAAGTGAAACTTGAGTTTTTAACTGTGTATATTTATCACGGTTACATTTGAACTACATGTGTTATGTAAATATCATTACTTGGATCAACGCTATACCAATAACCAGTAAACAGCAGCCACTCTTAAACGATTAAGATAAATATTTACATTCCATCACTGACCATGAGAATAGATTCGGCTGTCAGTATGACACAAGTTACACCACTGACCACCGTATACTTCAGCACCATAAAGCGCTTTGTACCCGGGCAAATTGCAAGCAGTAAGCCTAACTTGTGAGCTTAATTTTGCTCATTAACGCTCGCATTTCCATCATCTTATCATTCTGAACACAATATACCATCTTATCATTTAACATCAATAAATGACCACAATCAGTACTCCAGTGATCAGATGTATACAAGTAAAGGTTTTTGAATAGTATCCGTAGAATACATGCTTTTCTGATAGCGCAACCTGATGAGATAAATGGATAAACTGTCTCAACGTGTAAATTCAAATATAACTTTTCTTCAGGAAATAATAATGTTTTGTAAATTTATTCTGCAATTCAGTTGATATGCATGCAACATACGATATATAACTCTGCTAAATTCAAACACACAAACGAGTTTGATTTTTGTACACATTAAGGCATTTTATATAATTAATTGATATATATATATATATTATAGACATATTATTTAGAACCTGATATTTAACGAACACGATTATATTTTCAAACTAGGCTTTCATACTCAAAAAGAAATATTCATGAAATAAGGTATTTGATTACCCCGTAATAACTGAATTTAAGACCATTCTTGAAGGTTACTCAACTTGAACAAATATGAATATGCCAATTCAACAAAAAAGAGTTAATATGCGACACATTTATCATTTACGTACCGGAAAAAAACAATCCAAAGTTTGGTATCATTTATAAGTATTCATTTTGCGTTTTGAAAGTCTACAATAATACGCGGAGGAGTTGTTTAAACCTATAAACACAATCATACTTAAAAACAAAATGTTGCATAGTTAGGAAATGGTTCATGTATGAGAGAATGTAGTTGATTTGAATTAAGTCTGAAAAAAAAAAGTCTTCCGTCTATATGAAAATAAATCATGTCTGAATAATAAGTCACGAGTTAATCATTGTTCATTATTATTGTGTTTGTACGCTTCATCTTAGAACATGAAGTTAATCAAGCCAAGTTAAAAACAAGTTTGACTTTCGAACGCGTTGTTCAAATTGTATGGGATCAGGTATCTCGTTTTTTTTAGAACAAAGCCTCATTGAATTTTTGCTGTGCCCCACGCAGAATCGAACCCCGGATTTTAGCGTTGTAAGTCCATAAACCTACCCCTGGCGTATCGTTATTTGAAGAAAAACAATAAAACTACAACCAGAAATGTTACAGATGGATACAAAATCGTGTTTTTAACATGATCTACAATTTAAAAACGAAAATGTTACTAAAATGCAAATCCAAATACTCAACTACTTGTTTGTTGAATTTTGCGCTAAGTTACTCGAAGACTATCTGCGCTAACCGTTCCTAATTTTGCACCATCCACCACCAAATCTGGGGCAACTGCCGTCAGACCTAATAGTGGGATTTGACTATCACTCTTATAACGCGTCCACTGACCCAAAATGCAGTGCACATTTTTTTATATTTTTTACGATAACTTGGAGCAAACCACGGAACCTCAGGACGGCTTGCTAATCACTGGGACGCTCTAGGCCCGACTCAAGTTTTATAACTGAAATAAAAAAGTTAAAATATTATCACTTTCAGATAGTGTGTTTTTTACAGAAGAAAAACTAAATATTATTTTATCGTATATTTGCTTTGCACTACAGAAAATGTGAGACTTTTTTTGAACTGTTATCGTCATCTTCAAAGAACTGTTTTGTTTGTTTCTTATTAAGCTAAAAGTTACACAACGGAATATCTGTTTTCTGCCCACTTCGCGTATCGAAACCGAATTGTTAGCGTTGCAAATCCTTATACTTACCGTTAAACCACGGGGGACTTCAGTTAATAAACACTGATGAAAAAAAACAAAACGAAAAACGCCTATATGCTAACAGTATTTTGTTGTAGCTTTTTTGATTCAAGATTTAACTAAAACCTATTTAATTATATTAAATTAAGAACAAAAACACCATTTGTGTTGATTACAGGCAAGGAACAAAGATGTTTTAAATGTTCATAAATTAAAAATCTATTCAAAATAATGCTCCAGTGCGGTAAGTCTGAAGGCTTATAACGCTAAAACCCGGGTTTTGATACTCGTAGTAGGCACATCATAAATAATCCATTATGTATCTTTGTGCTTGACAAAAAACAAACAAAATTCAAAATAAATTTTCGTGAATATTATTTTATTTATTCTTGTTCAGATTAAATCTTAAAGCTCATTTTCAGCGGTTTCCTTTTTGTAATAAATCCCCCCAGTAGCACAGCGGTATGTCTGCGGACTTACAACGCTAGAAACCGGGTTTCGATACCCGTGGTGGGCAGAGACAGATAGCCCATTGTATAGCTTTGTGCATAACTATAAACAAACAATTTGTAATAAATTAACACCTAATACCTTAGAAGTTACACCGGTCAATTTACAGACTGACAACGCTAAACATCCTGGTGGACAGGACCCATTG